TCCACTTTCATTATCCGAACAGCCACTGGAAAACTACTTTGCAATTCAAATGATTGCAATCACACCCTCCCCCATACGAATTGAAAAACACAAAAGATAAAAATCTCAACTTTAAGGTAGGGGGAGATTTAAGTTTGCAACTAAGAATATTACAGATTTACATGATCTAAAGCTTCAATACGTATAAAACATACCATAGAACGATTACTTCTTCATCGGAGACAACCCCGTCGAACTGATCTTCATTGGAAACAGGCAGCAAATCTATCGACGCCAGCGAATCGTGGAAACTATGCACTGGCCCTTCTTCGTCATACTTGGCTAAAGCTTCAACTTTTTCTCCTCCAGAATGAGTTTTAATAGAAAAAATAGATACGTAGTATAATACTTGCGGACCAATAATTCGCTCCAATCAGCTTGGGATTGGGGAAACAGGAAGGGGGTTTTGCGCGTAATAATGACGGTGGTGGTCAAATTCGGTTTGGGTGGCCATGGTATGACGGTGGTGGTCGAGTCAGGTAGATGCAGCGGCAGCGGTGCATCGAAGGCCGGAGTAACATGGAAGTGGAGTTTCTTTTTCAATGAGAAAAATACTCCGAAGTAATTCTGGTTACTCTTAAACACAACTGCATTTTCACAATGTTTTGAGCTATATTGAATTTTGAGTCTCATTTCACAACTCGAGGGACATGACTAAAGTGCATGTAGGTAAGAATAAAGGCAATTAATGTCTGAGCAATACATTTACAGCAAATGTGAAAAATAATAAAAGACAGCAGATCACATCTTAAAATTGAAAAATATCTTCACAATTACTGCAATAACAATGTAAGTCTTACCGAAAAAGGGGATCAATAGAACAATGATCCCAAATGGTAGATATCACCAACGCCGTTCTAATAGAGATTGAATACAAATGGGATTTGGTTTGGCCAGATGGGGTCAGTTCCTCTAGACTCATAGCCACTGGCAACATGGTCAATGCATGTGTATATCTCATTAAGGAAAAAACTTGGGTTTATGGGTATGCACAACCAAGACAAACTTAACATTTCCTTGAGTGCAATGGCTCATCAGCTATGCCCAACATAAATTATTTGATCCATTCCACTTGTTCAATGTAACTATGCCCATAAAGCTAGTCCTTTGTTAGACTAAATAATTGTGTCCACCTTATTGAAGGAGTAACCAAGACGGCAAGACATTATACATTGTTTTGTATTTTCTATTTGCTCGATGTGCGATGACTTAATAATTTATCCAGAAAATATCCTGATAAAATGATATTTTGTTAATGGATTAACGACCTGCAAAAGAAACCACAGAAGAGTTGGTTACTCAGTTATAACAAATAATTTTTTTTGGTTATTCAGTAGGCATGTTTAGAGTGGATTGTGATTCTGCTGAATCTCCAAACATCACAGCTGTTGCAATGTACATCAAGGTCACTATGCCAAAGCTGCATATAGACATACTGAAATTTGTTTTTTTTTTCATTATGACAATGTTTTTACAATGGTTAACATGATCCAAGTGTCTGCATATTAGGATTAAGGAAACCTGGTTTAGAGGACAGCGGGAAATGGTTCCATTTTTGCATAGATGCATATATGTTGGGAAGAACAGCATGCCCTTGGTAACAATAACCATACAGACCTATGGCAACTGGAAAGTAGAGAGATTCATTGCTGTTTGTTAGCTTTCGGAGCCGACATGATCCACCAAACTAACCCAATACTAGCATGAAACTACCAACACAGCCACCACCATTCCTCCGACTGAAAAATCAAAAAGCTTTGATGTTTAGTGCTGCTTTGGTAACTTTGTTTCTAGTTTCATCAGCTTTCTACCAAAAACTTATATCACAATTTTATGCATTAAGTTGACCAACGGTGAAAAGAGTATGTTGAGGGTGTTTTTTATATTTTTGGCGCAATCAGTTGGTTTTGTTGAAGCGGGTAATTATAACTATTTATCATATAATTTTTATTTATTCTATAATAAAATATTCTAAATATGTTTTATTGTTATAATTGAGCAGATTAGGCCAATTCAATTACTAACTTCAGCAGTTTCAACAGCCAATTTTAGCGTCACTAAAGGGATTTTGAAAGCTGATAAGTACACCTTTAATTAAGCATTGAACAATCATTTTTCCTGTTTAATAGACACTCACCTGAGATATAACTATGGAGAGTGAGATCCCAGAGAAATATAGTAGGGAGAACTACAACTGCCGTTATTAACGCAAAAAGATGGTGCGCATCTAAGCGTACTCCTCCTAAACTCAAATGTGCATTTGGAAATAAAGATGACAAGTTATCGGCTTGCAATATTATATATTGGATACAACATGCCTGTGAGTAGAGAGCACAAACACAATTAGAAAGAATAGCCCGACAACGCCTTGAATGTTGGTATCAATCTATATATTATATTGATGTGAAACAGCTTAACAAAAACAATATATATGTGAAGACTTGAAAAAGGTGATCGTTGTACTCACATATAACTCTCCACGTACAAAAAAATCAGCATCAACAAAACATGAGAGCCAAACAAACCAAAGTCAGCAGGGAGTAATAATCTCTTGTGAGTCTTGTCTATGCTACTAGAATGCTTAACACCTTCGTTAACTCTTTTGATTTAAGATAAAAATACTTGCAGAAAGAAGTATCCATCGGGTGGGACCAAATGCAGCGTGTCCAATATCAGGATAAGTCTTCAGCCCCGGTTGGCTGTCCAAGCAGTGACGAAGTAGAATGCCAGTATAGTACGAAATTAGAGCAAAGAGAAATAGTACAGAAAGTCCACTCCACCCGCCTTGTCTTACAGCATAAGGGGTCGAAAGGATTCCTACTCCACATAAAACATCATACCTGTTATGGAACAACGCAAACATAAGAGTAACATACTAACATATATGCCAATTCAATTCAAAATACTTGTTTGATACATTTAAATCTGAATGTGGTTACTCCTCATATGAGATTGATCTTTCTGTAGGAACAAACCCCGATCCATATGGTGTGGGCCCGTGAAAAAGATGAACAATTCATATGATGTCTCGGTTTGTGGGGTATCTACCATTTGAAAAAAACTATGAGATCCAAATGAGATATCGGATTGTGAGGGGTGTATGACGTGAGAGAATAAAAATATTAGCACGGCTCATTTAGGACCTTGTGCTAGGTATCATATTAGATTGAACTTTTAAAATGAAATTCAAAAAACATAATGATCTCTCATAAGGCAGCTAAAATGGGACAGAGGGAGTAAATCACAATTTCCAAATTGTTAATAGCTAAACAGTGGGGATTGTAAACAAACATTAGCTTCTCCAAGATGTATTCCATAACCTAATTGAACATCAATTAAATTCTCAAAAACTGAGACTTCAATAAAACCTCCTTTTCAATAGGGTGAGGGCAATGCTTAGACTGTTTCCAATAATCCTTTCTAGATGTATTCCATTTTTCTAGTTTGCTTTCAGAAATTGTTTGTGATTGAAATTGTTCCCATCCTGTTTACATCAACAACAACGTACAACTTTATTTTCTTAATAAGCATTTCAAGTAATTTTCGAAGAAAACTTTGGGAGTATGTCATCAATAGGTTGCCCTCCACCAATACACACACAACTGTTCTAACTCCCAAAAAAAAATCCTATAGACAAAAGTAAAACAGAAAGGACTAAAAAATATCAAAATAGAAAGGAAAATATTAGAGCAATATGGAAGCAAAGAAAATGTTCAGGAAATTAAAACATTGCTTCAAACTTTTTTTAAAATATTTATTCAAATTCATTTTTAATTGTTTATTTCTCTTATTATAATGACTAAGCAATCTAAACATACACAAAAAAGTGAAAAACTAAAAACAGTAATCATGTTTTATTTTTCTCTGCATTTACTATGATAAGTCCAAACTCAGAAAACAGTTCGGTTGACATTTTTTCCATTCCCCTACTATTTTCCGTAGGATCCAAACATAGCCAAAGATGATGCGGAAAATCTGACCTGTAACTTTGAGGCCAAGCATTGTTGAAGGAATTGGGTTTGCTCTGGTGGTGATCATAAACCTGATTATCATTGGAGTAATTGGAAGAAACATCAGATTCATTGCCAACTTCACATTTCCCATCCTCTCTCACCTCTTCCTCATTGTCTATGTAGAAGCTGTCGTCTGACACTGAATTCTTCATCATTTTAAAGTTGAACCTTTTGACAAGATAGTTGCAAGTAAAAAAAAAACTTTCTTTAACATTACAAAATAAACACCAAGAGGCTATGAATCTTTAAAGCCTAATATTGGTCAGATACATAGCTTTTTTCTTCTTTTTTTCTTTTTTTTTTCTTTTTTTTTATATTTGCTATATCAAAGCCAAATTTGCTAAGCAAGTTGAATTCTTGAAGAAGTAATTCCAAGTTTAGGACAGGTAGCCAAAAAACAAAAAGAACAAGATATAAACACCTGCATGGATAAAAAAATAAAGGGGGAAGGGATGAAAGTCTCACTTTTAAAAGAAGAATTGAAGGAATGGGTGTTAAATCACTAATCTTTTTGCTTATCCTTTGCTCAAAAGCTCCAGCAGGTAGTTCTCTATTTGAAAACCATGAATTTGGTGAAATTTTTAGAATGCATTTTCTGCTGGGAGCCTCAAGAGTCTATTATAGCTTGGCAGAGAATGGGTGCTTATCCTTTGCTTTCAAAAGAAAAAGATCATATACTTAGAGCATCTCCAAGCAAAATTGAAGGAATGGGTGTTAAAGCACTAATCTTTTTGCTTATCCTTTGCTTTCAAAAGCTCCAAAAGATCAAATCTAGTGCATCGATGGCTCTTTTAGAGTCATTAGATCTGGAAATGAATGCACAAGATCTATTCTCACTTTGCATGGGAAGACCTCTTTGTATTTGAACCCTCCCATGTGTGTGTATCCTATTACTTACATTAACTATATATAATTACATTAACTTATTATAACTATAGTATATACTCTTTTTAACACAAAACACAATTTATGTTTATTAATGTAGCCCAACAAACAGATAATACAATCTGAAAGTGAGCAAACAAAAGTTCAAATTGTTGCAATACCAATCTAACTAGAACAATATGATCACTACAAATAAATAGCCACAAGAAGTTAGGTCATTGATCACCGGGCTGGCCAGTTTCACTTCCTGCCATTAAATCCATCAAATTGCTCCGAGATCCCAAATCGGAATAAACTCTCCGTGAACCCCACAACGGCTTATATGTGACTTTCTTAGCATTAAAGCTCCAATCTTCACCAGACGCAGGCGATCCATTTCTTGACCCCTCAACGGGCAGCCTCTCCCCTACAGTTTCAGCCAACAAACACGGATTGGTAAGACCATTCCACGAATGAAGTGGGACTGACTTACTCAACTCGCTCAAACATTCCACAACCTCCTCCATACTTGGCCTCCTTTCCCTACAAGACCTAACACATTTTGTAGCCACGACCGCCAATTGCTTCCTTACCATTAGATCTTTGGGAGGTTGGATCCTAGGGTCATACAGTGCCAACAGCTTCCCTCTCCTAACCAAAGGGACGGCCCATTCAACAATAGAAGGGGGGGAGTAAGCCACATCGATCGCCTTCCTCCCACTAATCATCTCCAACAGCAATATCCCGAAGCTGAAAACATCAGTCTTTGTGCTTAAATTATCAGGGGTCACATAGCCCGGATCAAGATAACCCATTGTGCCTGCTGGCGGGGTAGACCTAAGCCTATAGTCATCATTGTGGCATCTCAGGGCCAACCCGAAATCGCCCAATCGGGCATTGGAGTTTCGGTCTATCAACACGTTCGCGGACTTAATATCGCGATGGATAACCGGAGGGGTCAAGGTATGAAGGGTGTGGATGGCTTTTGCTGTTTGCAGAGCCATCTTGACCCTTCGACCCCAACTTGGCTGGCGAGGGTAGGTGTGTAGGGCATCATATAGAGTCCCATTGGACATAAACTCCACAACCAGAAGGCGTTCCTGAGTGTCACCAGTGGTGAAACCAAGGAGATTTACCAATCTTGGGCTTTGTAATCTGGACAGGATGTCGATTTCGTTCTCTACTTCGTTGGTGTTTGAGGATGATGAAGAAGACGAAGAAAGCCTCCTCGGAGTGGAAGGCCTGGAAGATTTCTTGACGGCTACTAAACGGCCGCCGGGGAGGACACCTTTGTAGACGAGGCCATGGCTGCCCCTACCAAGGAGCTTCTTTTCGGAAAAGCCATTGGTGGCGGCTTCGAGATCGCTGTAGCTGAATTGCTGAATGAAATTGAGGGGCTTCTGTGAATCTTCGTGACTGTTGATTTTGTTCTTCTTGTGAAGAGTGGTCTTCTTCTTTTTGGAATCTGAGATCGAAACTGCTGAATCGGCTGTACATGAAAGATAACCCATCTAACTAAGCCAACCAGCCGGATCTTCCCTATTCTATAAATAAGGAAACGATTGTTAGGTGAACGAAATATTTCATTTGATTTGCAGATTGGAGGTTGAAGATGGCGATATGTTGGAGTAGGAGAGCTTTCATAATTGGTGAAGAAAGGTAGTATTACGTATATACTACGTATATACGCAGTATATACGACGTACTTTATGGTTCATACTAACATTAATTATACTTACATTAGTTTAAGAGAAAGTGTCAAATAGGTCCTCGTACTATAATGAAAACGTCAATTGAGTCCTTGTACTATTAATTTAACTAATCAGATCCTCGTACTTCCAAAAATGAGTCAATTTTTGTTTTTAGCCGGTGACTAACCGGTTACTTCCGGTTGGGGCTGACGTGGCTGCTTACTTGCCTTTAATTAAAGTATTAAACTGATATGTTTAATGACATGTCATACACCACAGGTTAAAACAGGGCTTCTTTCTATTCCCATCTGCGAACCTGCGAACGACAATGGAGAAGATGTTGAACCTGCGAACGCGAACTACCTCCGCCACTGAAAGAGAGTCACACATAGTCTAGGAAGGAGGAAGACGAGCTATTACTAGAATTATCCAAGACTCGTGCACCAGGTAATTTCTCGAAAATTTGTGGCTTTTTATTGTACGTAGTTAACCCTAAAATTGTTTACTTTCATAACTTGTGGGTAACTAACACTTCTGAAAAATATTAACAGGATGGTTGAGTTTGTACATCTAATTTTTCATCATGGGGGGAATTTTGCTTGTACTCCTAAGAATATGTATGTGGGTGGTCAAACTGAAAGTGTGGAAATTGATCCATATCACATATGTTATCCACATTTGGTGAAGTTTCTTAATTCTGGAAATTATGGCAACATTAAAGGGCTCTATTTTAAAAAAACAAGTGAACCTATGGACAGTTTACGTGAGCTCTTCAATGATGAATCAACATTAGTGTTGATAGATTTGGCTACAAGCTGTGGGGAATGTGATATATTTGTTGAGCATGGTTTCGATGAATATGAATTAGTTGATATTCTCCCTTTTCCTTCTCCAACTGTGGCACTTGAGGAACAAAATGAGATGACCAGAACATATAATGGTGTGAACATCAGGAGCATTCCGATTGAAGAAACCCCCTTTCATGAACAAGGTTACTTTAATGAGTCAAATGAGGCAGGTAATGTTGAAGGCCATGATCAAACACATGACACAGATGTTGTGTTTGAGGGAGGTAATGATGATGGGGGCCTTATTGATGTGGACTTAATTCCAGATTAGAGTGGCTCAAAAGTGGAAGAGCAGGAGCATAGTTCGGGTGCAGGCAGTGAAGGGAATGGACAAAATGAGAGTGAAGAAGCAGATAGTGTGGAGTATGACTCTTCGAATCCACCTAACTACACTTCAGAGCACGAGTCAGACGATGGTCAGTCCAAAAGGAGAAACTTCAATGTGCCCTCCAATAATCCTAAATCTGAACCTCCTTTGATTGAACTTCGAATGCTTTTTGAAGATGCTCGACAATTCAAGAATGCTATTATTAGATACGCTATTCATGAGAAAAAGGACGTGCATTTTGTAAAGAATGACTTGACGAGAGTTAGAGTGAAGTGTGCACCTATTTGCACTTATAGTTGTACCGCCTCTTGGGAGAATACGTTCAAGTGCTTCCAAGTGAAGGTGTTGAACGACAAACATATGTGCAATTCTACAAGTGCATATATACTTGTAGTAATTGAAGTATATACACAAGAGGTTTTGGTATATTCACAAACTCTGAAACGGGCGAGACTACGTTTAATGTAAGTGTAAAAATGTTTATTTGTAAGTGTGTGATGTCCTACAAGTGCATATATACTTGTAGTAATTGAAGTATATACATTTTTGCAGCCAGGAGAGCGGGGTGAAATGCTTCTATCAGGGTAAAAGGGAGAAGAGGTTGAATACTACATGAATGGATGGCATGCTGTTAAGTGGGAGAAATACTATTAGGATAGAATGATAGGCAACTAGAACACTTTGTAGCATGTTCCTGGTTTTTGTTAAATTATCATGATTGCTTTTGTTATGGCCTTGATTTTGTTAAACTCTGTATGAGTGCTTTTGTCATGCCTACTGGTTTTGCAAACTTTGTTCTAGTTTTGGCTACTAGTTTTGTAAACTCAATGGCTCCTGGAAATGTCACAGGGTGTTTAAATTTAGTTTTTATTGCCTCCTGGATGTATCATGCAATGTTGGAATATATTTTAGGTAGCTATAATTCACATGTGAAATTGAATTACAAAATGCAGATGACCTTTCATAACATGTTACAAAATGCAAAGGTATAAAGCTTTAATACACTCATAAAAGGAATAACAGCCCATTAAACTTGCAGCAAAGTATTAAAGCTTAAATAACAAATCTGAAATAAGAGCCCATCAAGGCATGTTCACATAGACATGAACTATTGTTTACAAAAGAAACTTTTAATAAGAGCAGAAACCATTATTGGCATTGAAATACACCATAGCAATACAACCTAAGGTGAAACCAAGACCAAATTGTCCTAATGACCTATACTTGTTCTTTTTCTTCTTCTTTTCAATCTTCTGTTCAGCAAGCACATGACTGTTTAGAAGTAGGTCTCTAACACATGTAACATCCTTCTGGACAATAGCCATCTGTTGAGCAAGATCGGAAATATTCTTGTGCATTTCATTAGTATTTCGGTACACTCCTTCATCATGAATCCTATTCCTCTTTGCGTCCATGACATCCTTCCATACAAAATAACCACATCCTTCCACCTATCATAAAAAAACAGTACCCAACAGTCATTCCAAAATACAATAGAAACTAATACAGCAGTCATTCCATTGTCAGTCTTTAATCTTCCACTTGTATAATGAGTCCTACACATTATAAATGCATTTTTCCAGAAATTTCTCTAGAACTAACTCTTGTTGGCCATACTCACATTTGGTAAATTGTTTTCCTGATGTTAGTTCAGTTAGATGTCACTAACCTAAACAGCATATTGTGGTAGAATATGTAAACTTTAGTTGGTTGTACATTACACATTAAAACACACCGAATTCTTATTACGTTATTACACTTTTTCTTTGGAAGAGGGGGGTATGACGTTATTAAACTTAATACACTTAATTACGTTAAAACATACTACATTAACTAATTTAATTTACAACAAAATAATTAAACAAAATACAACATTTACCTTCCAATTTGGACACCCATAAAACATTTTTCCACTCTCTCTTCCAGTACACAACGGTGCTTTCATCCCACAATGACCATACACGGCCGGATCATAATCGAATGTAAAATTCAGAATTTTTCTGCCAGTAGATGTAGAAGATGCAGACATTTCTACTATTTCCTTTCGAGAGAGAACAAATACGCAGAATTTCAATTACCTCAGCACCGCCGCCTCTTCCTCTTCGGTTGATCTGTTCCACTCAACCTTCAGAAAGAATAGAAAGAAGCCTTGTTTCTCCATTGTCGTTCGCAGGTTCGCAGATCGCAGGTTGGGGAATAGAAAGAACCCTGTTTTAACCTGTGGTGTATGACATGTCATTAAACATATCAGTTTAATACTTTAATTAAAGCCAAGTGAGCAGTCACGTCAGCCCCAACCAGAAGTAATCGGTTAGTCACTGATTGAAAACGAAAATTGACTCATTTTTAGAAGTACGGGGATCTGATTGGTTAAATTAATAGTACAAGGACTCAATTGACGTTTTCTTTATAGTACGAGGACCTATTTAGATTTAAGACTAGTATATATCCCAATTTGTAAAACATTTTACGGTTTACGATGTTTGATCGACGATAAAGTAAATTGATCCATATCAACAGTCAAATTAATTTTAGAAAATAAAATTTACATATTCAGAAACTACATTAAAACTGCTACAAAACCTTTAAAAAATAGTTCCAATTTCATAACTTTTGATACATAAAGTAAAAGATTAAGAGTGATTTATGTTGACCAGTGAATAGTAAATGTATCTTACAATTTGGGACTGAGGGAATACTACCTCCGTCTCATTAGAAGGTTCCCGCTCACTATTCATATGGTCAACTTAAATCATTGTTAATCTTTTACTTTATAAATCAATTTTTTTTTATCAAATTTACATTTTCTTTATCAGGCTTTGTAGCGGTTTTAATGTAGTTTCTGAATATGTTAATTTATTTACTAAAATAATCAGAATGTGAACAGGGTGTTGCTTTATCGTCAGTCAAGTATCGTAAACCGTCAATGGGAACCTTCTAGCGGGACGGAGGGAATACTTCATAGTTTATAGGCTCAACCTGAACCTCAAAAAAGGTTGGGCCTCTAGTGCGCACGGGTGTATGGGCCTACTGCCACTCTACTGACTGAGTCACCGTGACTAACCTCCCCACCATCCTGTCGGGTTGGGGTGGGGGCTCCTGGGGTGGGAGATTCCACCTTTTTTGGATCAATATACTTCATAGTTTATACTTTTTTGCAAAAGATAACTTAATTAATATTAAAACTGAGAACCAGATACAAGTTCGCCATAACAAAGGCTACACTGGGGTGAGACTCAGAGGTGGAAACACGCTTGCTAGTGGACCATCTCGCTAACTAGGGCTGAGCAAAACCGACCCTACCCGAAGAACCCGACCGGGTGAACCCGGTTTTTTGTTATTGGGTCGGTTGACTCGACCCGAACCCTCGAACCGACCCACCAACCCGTTATTTTTTGGACCGACACCCAGCGGGTAGGGTCCTCCTAATCCCTACCCAAACCGCCCGAAAACCCGACCAAGTCTAAGCCCAGTAGCCCACTTCCCCAGTTCCCCCAAGGCCCCAACTCCCCAAGCCCATTAGGCCATTACCCATAACCCAACACTCAAAATAACCCCACTCCCTTTCCCGTATCCCTATTTCCCTTCGCCGGTTAACCCTAACTTACACAGTTACACTCTCTCTAACTCTCTAAGCGGCTAACCCTAATTTGGTCTGACTTCTCACTTCGTCAGCCGCCGTTGCCGTCGTTGTAGGGTTGTAGTCCTCAACCTAGTGGAAGCCTTCATCTCCTTGTAGGGTTTACCGTCTCTACTCTCTAACCAAGTGGAAGCCTTCATCT